TGCAGGAACACGTCCCCTTTCGTTCCGGCAATATTTCTTAGTATAGGGAGATAAAAAATCATATTATGAAACTAGCTCACTGTAAATATAAGTTGCTTAGCCTGGAGACTGTATTTCTGGTCGTTCTCGAATCCATTGTTGATATATATGTGAAACTGACGTGTAACTTTATTTGGCTAAATGAAAATTTGCCTTCACTTCCTGAACCCATTATGAACTTAACCAACTGTTAGGAGGCTATTGAATATCCTTGCACCCTTGATGGTCATACTTTGGATTCTCTGAGTGTGCCAATGGCACCTCTACTCTTCACTGGGTCTATTCGTGGGCCAATAGGCCTTCTGCAGTTACCTTTATTCTTATTCTGCATTTCCTACCATATCGTTCGCACCAGTATGTTATTTTACTTTTGAACAGGATTTGTTCATGATTATTCTGTTTTCTAAAGCTGAGACAGTTACATAATTAAATAGCGGGGGCGATTTCTAACACACTGGAGACTTACAATGACATCAACTGCCTCTGGCGAGGTTCTGTGCTATCATGTTACCACTGTGGTGTGTTTTGTTTGGTAGTTGTGATGGGAGGGGACGAGGTGGGGTTTCGAGGTGCCTGGTGATATCGTAATCTCTCTTCGTTATCTATTGACATTATCGCTATATGAAGGTTGAGGAGGATGATTAGTGAGTGTGCGCGTGTATGTGTGGATTTACTATTTGTACTTACTATTTGTCTCTGCAGAATTGAGCTATTACCTCTTGGACCCCGCCTTTCTAAACAATCAATTTTTCTTCTATATCTACTACATATATGTCTCAAACACTCGCGCGCTCGCGCACACGCACTCACACATCCCCAGGAAGCAGACCGTAACAGCTGTCTAACTCCCAGGTACTGTACCTATTTGCTGCTAGGTGAACAGGGGCATCAGGGTGGAAGAAACTTTGCCCATTTGTTTCCGCCTCCGCCGGGAATCGAACCCGGGCCATTAGGACTACCATCCCCAAGCGCTATACATTCAGCCGAGAGGCCACACACACACACACACACACACACACACACACACACACACACACACACACACACACACACACACGTGTGTGTGTGTTTTTATATTAAACATTTACATGTTTAATGTAAATATTTAAATACCGTAAAATTGACGTTTTCTATGCATCTGCCAAGATAGGTTAGGTGGGTTGCTTTGGTTCGTACGTTTCTGGTTAGGCAAAACGGTTGCATTTTGTTACGGAGTGGCAAAATCAAGAGGAAGGGCTCCTTACACAACCTCTTGGAACAAACTATGGAGGGAAGGTGATTTATATTACGCTACGTTACGTAGTGGTCGTTAAGTACTAATAAAGGGATATTAGAACCTCGACACAGTGTACAATACATGCTAATGACACCATTACCGGCCTTCTCTACCTGCTCTCTCGTTTGGCAAGGGGGGAAGGTGCAGCTATGGGCGCGCGCGGCGCGAGAGAGAGAGAGAGAGAGAGAGAGAGAGAGAGAGAGAGAGAGAGAGAGAGAGAGAGAGAGAGGAGAGAGAGAGAAGAGAGAGAGAGGAGAGAGAGAGAGAGAGAGAGAGAGAGAGAGAGAGCACGAGAGAGAGAGAGAGAGAGAGAGAGAAAAAGAGAGAGAGAGAGAGAAAGAGAGAGAGAGAGAGAGAGGAGAGAGAGAGAGAGAGAGAGAGAGAGAGAGAGAGAGAGAGAGAGAGAGAAGAGAGAAAGAGAGGAGAGAGGAGAGAGAGAGAGAGAGAGAGAGAGAGAGAGAGAGGAGGTCGGGGGGGGATATGACGAGGAAATGGGGAGGAAGATATGGGAAGGAGGAGAGATAGAAATATGTAAACATGGGGGATATAAAAGAGGGGAAGGGGAGGCCTATTGCCACCCCAAACCCCCCCCCCCCCCCACCACCTTTTCCCCCCTCGTGTCCTGCTAAATTTGGTTAGGTTTGTGGGTAAGGTAGTTTAAAGATAGCGAGTCGCAATTTAATGTCGTCGCGGACGTAAAACAGCAAGCGCCTATCCGGTCAAGGTAGACAAAATGGTCAACTAGAACATGTCACCATGGGTACAGCCCGGGTGTGTTTATTACAGTGCCTTGCACTGTATCCACATTTCGCTTCCAGTAGATGACATGAGAGATAAGGAGCAAGTAGTGTGTTGTGAATACTAATAACAAACAAGCAGCTCTTATGTGACCCTGTAATATCTCCATAGCTCAAACAATTATGTACTAGCGAAAAGACCCCATCATTAATGTATACTGATTACCTGTAAATACATAACTATTGAAATGGAACAATCTCTGTAACCAGCTGACGGTATGGATAAGGTGTGAAGGATAGATGTAATTCTTAAAGTAATAATCTCAGTTGAGGCCTGATAAAGACCTTTTGTTTCGTCTATAATTCTTTTTTGCGCTACCGGTCTTAGGATGACTATGGGGTGCACAATAAACCAGCAGCCTGTGGCAGCAACAATGTTGCAAAAGAACAGGTGTTGTAAATTTCATAAGTGAGCAGTAAGTGAGCTTTAATAAGTACCAGTGAGCCTAAACAGTGAGCTAACCTCAAGGTAAGGGAGCAACCGAAGACCAGTTAGCCTAAACAAAGCCTCATGGCACGTGAACTGTCCCCAATAGCCTCGTACCAGCGGATAATAACCAACACCAATAATGAATCTACATTGATAACGTTGGTTGAATATCACTCTTGGACACCCGGGATCTCCCAAATCCCCATGATTGTTCTTGTGTGGATTCTGTCAGGTACCCTCAATGCCTCTGGATTACGTGCACCTTGCATGCCCAATGCCCGCATGAGCAGGGATTCTCCTCCAGACGGAAGGCATGAGAAATAGGATGGATGGAAGTAGAGAGAGAGAGAGGAATGGAGTTTGGCTTGTCTGGTGATCTCTAGGTAATTGTTTGACCAAGTGCGGAGGTGGAGAACAGACGAGCAAGTTCTTCACCAGCTCGTAAAGACAATTGACTTTACCCTTTCTGTTTTTTGCCGCTATTAAAGTCAAGACGAGTGTGAGGCCAAGATGCGAGGAGACGGAGGAGGAAGGGGGAAGAGTGGATGCAGATTAGACAGGGAGGGCCAAGGTGAATGGAGATGGGATAGGGAGAATGGAAATGGAATAGGGAGACAGGGGCAGTGTGGATGGAGATGGGATAGGGAGAGGAGATAATGGATGGAGATGGGATAGGGAGAGGAGATAATGGATGGAGATGGGACAGGGTCAGGATGTCAAATATAACCAAAGGGTCCCAGAAGATGGAATACGATAACTGAAATTGAGTAGTGTTTAATGAAAATAGTATGGAGTTGAAGGAATGGAAGATGGTGTAACAATGAAGGACAATTGAATAAAGAAAACAGAATGGATTTAATATTATTAAGGGCGAATTCCAGGTGAAAGTGGTCGTTAAAGACGAGATTGCTAGACAAACACACATTTTAAATAATCCATTGTAACAGGTAGAATAAATTAAAGAAAAACTTTTAAAGTTGTAAAAAAATATATATATATATTATTATTAATATTTAGGAGCCATAAAACGTGACGTTATATTAGCCAAAATGAGGGAAGAGTGCCTAGCCAATAAGCGATTGTGCAATATAAATCATCGTTATGTTAGACAACCATAAACAAAAAACCTTTAGGCTGTTAATCAACTCCTCGACGATCTCTCTCTAAGAGGAGAATTATTATTATTATTATTATTATTATTATTATTATTATTATTATTATTTAGAGTTAACACGAGAATCTCACACTTGAGGGAGAGCGTCTATCATGTATCACATCCAGTGACCACGCTAGGCTATCAGACCTCTTGTACTCGAAACTTATCCTTAGTGCGAGTTAGCCAGCGAGCTAGCTAGCTCGCTCTCTCTCTTCTGCCGTATGCAAATAAGATGGTCTCACCCAAGTTAAACCCCTCTGGCGTTTATGCTAATTCCTCTTCCCCTCGGCCAGGCAATCCTTTGTTGAGCAGTTGCTGGAATATTCATAAAAGTAAATACCTTTGAAGGTTTTCACACTGGCGCCGTGTTAGCGTGGTGTCCCCCGCCACGCTCGTTTTCTGTTTGTTTAACTTCTGGCTCCACATTTCCACCAGCTGTTTTTTTTATGATTTACAATAATTGCTCTTCCTTCTCTGTGTGTATAAGGTTCACACACATTTTATCTTGCCCATTCATTCCTGTATATTATTTTGAATCATAAAGTTGATCTTTTATCCCTTTTGCACAAATACTGATTCTTTCGTTATTATGCACCCCATACCTATCCTGTGGGCGGTGGAGGAAAGTGTTACAGAAGCACATAATGGGTTCAGGTATTGAACCCATTAGTTCGTTTAGCTAAGCAAATTACAATCTTTTGAATATAGTTACACAATTATTAATGTTATATATACATGTACATATATGTATTTGTGTAAATGAGTGTGCATATATTATAATATATATATTATATATATTATATTATATATATTACTTATATATATATTATATATATATTAATTATATATATATATATATATACTTTTGTACAGGCAGCAGAGTTGTTAAGCTACTGCTTCACTATTCCAATGTTGAATACAGTACACTATTATTGTATACTGTATTGTGGTTATTGCCGTTTGATAATACAACCGCCCAGGGTTTTACGGGGAAACAACTCTATATCACCCAAGTGTGTTGCTTTTGCCTATTCTGGCTACCGAACCTACGCTTCGTAAAATAAAATAAATAAATTTTATATATATATATATATATATATATATATATATATATATATATATATATATTATATATATATATATATATATATATATATATATATATATATATATATATATATATATATAAACACACCGACTAAACAAAATTTTGTATTAGTCAATGCCTCATGTGCGAAAACATGTTAAACCCGAGCATTGTATGGTAGTGATTAGTGACCAATCTTCTCCGTCGGTCCCCAGGTACCTGCTACGCTGGTCAGCAGAACACTGAGACGCTTGTGCGCTTTGTCCTGGTGCCACAGTTCCTCTACCTGGTGACGGGAGCGACGCTGGTGCTGGTGGTGTTCGCGTGTCTGTGGAGGGCACGAGTGCGCCTTCGCCAGGAGGGCATGAAGACTGACCGCGTGGACGTCACCGTGGCCAGGGTGGGCGTGGTGGCTGTCCTTTACATGGTCCCAGCCTCTTGTCAGGTGAGTCAGGTTGGGGGGGTGCTGCTGGGGACCATGGATCCCTGGAGAGCTGCTAGGGAGGGGCCCCTGGCAGGAATGTGCCCGGAAAGGAGGTAGGGATGTGTCTAGCATGTTGGGAGGGGGTTGGATTAGTGGGATTCGGCGTTAGTGGCAGGATACTTTTATCTGTAAGCTGTTTGGGAAGTACATAACATCTTAAATTAACGTGCATTCTAAACAATTTAATTATTTATTATTAATCTTATAATGAACCAGCAATACTCTACACAGCTGTTAGCGCATCAGCCGTTGATGAACAATTCTAGGTGGTTTCTTAACTGGTACATATTACAATTGGCCAAGAAGCCTAAAGAATGAATGTTAATTTAGTTCACAATAGGGCCCTTTTGTCCTCTTGTGTTGATCTCTGTCATATGGTGTTGATCCCAGTCATATGGTGTTGATCCCAGTCATATGGTGTTCTATCAGTGTTCACCGTTATGCGCCAGGCAGCTGATGGGGTTGTCAGAGGGCCGTGTACAGCATACAACTCATGTCCGCGCCAGGTAGCTCATGTACTCGTCTAGTTGTGTTTGTGGGGGTTGAGCTTCGGCTCTTTGGTCCCGCCTCTCAACTGTCAATCAACTTGTGTACCTGACGTGTTGTGTGGGCTGTGTTTATTAAACAGCTGCCGGGTGATGCTATAGAACACTTTGTCGTCCCGCAGGAATCTGTTACCATCCTCGTGAGCGAATATTCTGAAGGAGCAACTATGCCATATAATTTTCATTGTCTGGTGGCTCAGGGTTTGTTAGGACAACCTAACATACCGTCTCCAACGACTGCTTTGGAGACGGTGTTAATCAGTACATTGATATAATTTCCATTTTCATGTTTGAGACAGATATATTGATAAAATCCCCCACTTTCTCACTCCCTTCTCTAGCTCACTGTATACATCATTCATCTCTGTCCCTCTTTCCGAACAGGTTGGCGCGACCTTCTATGAGTATGTGGAGCGAGAGCGTTGGCTGCGGGACCCGTCAGTGAGGCCCAACATGGAGGTGTTCATGCTCAAGATCTTCATGTCCATGGCCGTGGGCATTATGGGCGGCCTCTTCCTTATCAACGGCCGCGTCCTCCACTCCTGGAAACAATTCTTCAGAAGGATCACGGCCAGGAAGCAGCCACTTCCCGCGTACCTTCAGGCGCCGCACCTGACGCAGGTGGGGGCAGGCCTCGTCTGCCAGGGTACAGCGGTGCCCCACAAACACCCACCTGGTCACCATAACCACCTTCACCACCACCACCACTACCTACCCCAACAACGCCAGCAGGAGCCAGCCGGGGGACCCTTACCTGACGTCCATGGCTACGTCAATATGTACCCTCCCCAACCCCCTAAGCACCACCTCCTCCACCACCATCTCCACAACTCCCAGCCCTCGAGGCATAAGTGTGGCTCGGAGACTCAGGTGTAGCAGCCGAGGACACCTGGCATGACCCAGATCCGTACGTGATCAACCAAGCTCTACGTATTGAAGGCCAGAGTCGGCCATCACGACTCTGCTGTAGTACTTCAGAATCATCTGTCATGAGCCAGCTGCCGTCATATATCATTCAATTCCTCTGACCTGGTACTCTTTGGGCTCTTACACCTGGAAGTGTAAGAGCCACTAGTGGTATCCACATATGCAACCCGTCCTCAGACAAAGTCCATTCTATCCAACGGTCAACCCCAAAGACGCATTCATAAATTAACATTGTGCATTCAAAACAGGAATTTTCTCAAATATAAATTAATATTATATATTAGCATATTGTGCATATTTAGGCACTGGTTAGGTTAGGTGTTTAGGTGCTGTTGGCGATTATTTGTATTAGTAATACGTGGGTGAAGCATTTATAGCGTTGTGGTTCGAACAAAAGTCGTCAGTGAAGCATTTGTTCCGGAAGTGTTCGGACGTCATCAGTTGTGAGTCGTTTGTAAACCGTTTCTCATTCATAAACAGGGGGGTTTGGCGGGTGGATGGAATGGACTTTGACCTTTGTTTATGAGGACGGGCTGACACATGACCCTGCTGTTCTCCCGAGTCAGGTGTTTAAACTCACCTCTGCAAACAACGAAAATACTCTACTGCCGATCTATGAATTCAGCAATGTGATTACTAGTAAGACTGTTTCGTAAAGAAACTCTGAAACTGTCTTTGTGATATAATGACGACTCGGAACGACTTAAAAGCAGTGACTCAAACCCTGACAGCCGTGACTGGTTGTAGTCTTCAGTTTTTATTTATGATAATAAGTGCTGCCAAATCGTCCTCTTCCACCCTCGTCTTGTGCTGTCCACGAGATGGGATTAAACCAAAGTAAATACGAGTTATGGGTTCCTTTTGATTTTGGGGTGTTGAACAACCTTGTGAAACCTCCCATTGGCTTCTTGGATTTACCAAGCCGAAAATAGTTGTGAAGCCTGTGTCTTCCATTTGACTTCATCAGGCTAAAAATCCATTGGCTTCAGGGCAAGAAACAATGTGAAGCTTATTGTGAACGCCCATTTGCTTTACCATACTGAGAAATCTTGTGAAGCATCTAGTGTTTCTCATTTGGATTCCCCAAAGTGGTGACGCCTTGTGAACCCTCCTGCGACTCTCCTTTAAATTCATCAGGCTGTGAAGCCTGGTGAACCCTCTTGTGTTTATTGGTGCTCTATTTATAAGTGTCATCTTCATATCTTCCTCATTACCGTTTTACATGTCTTAAGAAAAAATGCGTGTTGAGTTAGCCACATATTCCAATAATATTATATATATACATATTATATATATATATATATATATATATATATATATATATATATATATTATATATATATATATATATATATATATATATATATATATATATATATATATATATATATATATATATATATATATATATATATATATATATATATATATATATATATATATATATATATATATATATATATATATATATATATATATATATATATATATATATATATATATATATATATATACACACAATTATGTAAACTAAATTCAAATATACAACTTGTTTAATATTTATTTTAGTGACATTGAAAAGCGTACTTCCAACAGAAAATAATATAACTTCATTTTCGAAGCGTTCTTCCAGACTAAAATTACGTAACAAAAATCCAAAGTCCAATTTCCTAATGACTTACAGTACAATAACAAAGGGAAGAACTATGAATGGATGTCTATTTATACAGTGTACATATTACGTGTGCGTGTTTAGTATGTAGTGCGGTGAACCGCAGGAAGAAATTACCTCAGCCCCCCTCACCCCCGTTAACACAAGCCCCGCTTTCTTACCACTCTTCACCGCAAGGTTAAACAAAATTGTTAATCACCCCGCAACATTGAACTTCCGCGTGTTTGTACCGCGCAGCGCTCAAAGTCTTGAAAGTCTATAACTGCATCGTAATATCTCTGGAGAGTTTTGAGAATTAGGAAGTTGCTGGGTTGGTTGTGGCCGACTTGTGCATTGGTTCCAGCAGTAGTATATATATGCCTCGTCTGGTGCTTACCGCACGAGAAACAAATGGTGGCAGTTGACCAATCCACACACTAGAAAATGAAGGGACGACGACTTTTCGGTCCGTCCTGGACCATTCTCAAGTCGATTGTCTCTCTCTCGACTTGAGAATGGTCCAGGACGGACCGAAACGTCGTCGTCCCTTCATTTTCTAGTGTATGGATTGGTCAACATACTTCAGCCACGTTATTGCGACTCATCGCCTGCAAATGGTGGGTGTTAAATGTCCTGCTGGGAATGACCGACACTTTTGTATTTAGATATTAACAACAAAAATGGGAGGGTTGACCTTGCCCTATTTCCGTATTGTCAGACAATTAGAGCAATAAGTGCCTTGGATATAAGCAAAGAATTTGTGTAATCTATTTTTAACAAAATAGGATGAACCCAGTATCCTGCATTATGCCTTTATCATCACCGTAAACTAACAATTACCGAGGCCATTAATGGAGGCTTGCAACCTGCCATTAAATATAATTATAATTTTTAGAATTCAAATTTTGAAAGTGTTGACATTACTATATATTTAACATTGTTAGAATGAATACAACGTTGTTGTAGTTGCCTTTTTCATTATATATCCTCTTCATTATTATTTTTATTAGTAAAATGTACAGGTTAAATTTATGTAAATTTATATATTTATTAGTCAGCTTCAATCAAAATATTTATCGAGAACCTCTCTAGTACAAATCTTTCGTTTATCAAGCTGGACGTCTTAATTCTCCGTTACCTGCACCTCTGTTTTCTTCACCGCGGCTCCCTCGTTAGTCTGAAACATCTTAGATGGACACGGTCAATACTTATTTTTTGGATTATACTTTTAACAAATGCCAACTTTCGATATAACATACACATGTCAGATTCCTGTAGACTTGAGCTTGTTATTATTACGTTTGTTCAGTGTGATATAATTTTGCAGTATATCGTTTAAATTAAACATTTTGATCCACGATATTTAAGAAGATTCTGGTCGGAAGTATTTTTAGGACTACATGAAGTCAATAACCTTGTTCATAAACATTTAATGTTGTAATATATTTTCACCATTTTACCTCATTCATAAGGTTTTAAAAAACATTTTGTTCATGTAAAATATTTAACATTATATTCATGTAAAATTTATTTAAGTTCTGCCATTTTTAAGGCAGAACTTAAATATTTTATACAAGATTTTTATTGACAGCGGTTCGGTCTCTGTCAGAGAAAGTTCCCTCCGTCAGTGTAGGCATTTTTCACCTGTGAGTTCTTCCACCACCGTAGGTACTTCCTCTGTTGTAGGTCCATCAGTTATGATTATTGTCCCGTTAGTGTTGGTTTCACCGGCCATCGCTGGTCGTACCTAATAGCTAGAACGCACTACTCGGCTTAGTATGCAACGCCTGATTTGCCTAATAGGCAGAGTGATTTTTGTTAGTTTCACAAATTTGTTTCCAATTGGTTTATATGAATTAATATTATATTAAATTAGGAATATGATTTACTGACTTAGTTATGTTAGGTTTGGTCAGATTTTTACGCTAGTTTTAAATCAAAATGAAATAAAAAATTATATACTATAATATATATATATATATTAGAAAGTTTTATCATTTCATACAATTTGAAAATTGTAACTTCAGGAAAACTAGGCAAATCGGGCCTTGCCTACAAGGTCAAGTACTGCGTTCTGGCTATTAGGTACAACATTTTATATTATATATATATATATATTATTCTTTGTAAATGTAAACTCAGATATACCATGTAAATCTGTATAATTAAAACATTTCATGTGTCATAGCTATTATATACATGTATAAAGTGCAAACTGTGTGATGTACAAATAAGTGAATGATGGTGTTTGGTTCACTGAGCGCGGACTATAGTGCTGTATCTCGGTTTGGTTGGGCTCATGCCTTACGATACAGTTATGTGATAGCTAAGAGGCCATATTGATTGTAATGTTACAAAATAAGGCTGCCATTTATTCTGCTTCCCAAATGTTATAACGATTCACTCCCTGGAAACACAAACCGAAACTGTCTCTATTTTCCGCTTGTTACAACTTGTAATAAAGTTGTTACATCTTAGCTTAACGTGTTTATGACATATTAGAACGTTGTTACAACTTGCTATATTGGTTGTTATAACTGGTTAGGTGTTAAAACTTGTTCGAACGTTGTAGCAACGTCGTAGTTTCGGTGTGTGTTTGGCGGGCTGAAACTTCAGAATGTTTGTCTCAGGTTTCACACGTATTTCATAAAACTTTCATTCTACCAGTTACTCAAGCTTCGTTAATTTTCAATGGGCTGAAAATTCCTTGCTGATGCCTCAAATGCCTTGTTTCATTTAGGCTCTGTTTACTGTCCATATATTTCCCCTATTTGCTTGTGGGTAGTGTGCGCGCGCCTGTTCAAACCCTCTGGCGTCTTGGCCATTTCCAAACTTAAATTATGTTTAACATTCCTAATAATCTGAGAATGGATCAACTTGCGCTAACACGGTAGAGATATAAAAAAAGGGTAAAAATGTTCTCAAAATCTTTCCTTATGATTAGAGTAATTCAAATTGTTCCATAACCATATTTGGTCGGATATAAGATACTCAATATCATCCTTATCACACCTCGGCTAAATTAGAAATTTTAATGAAATGAGTAATGTGAGGACTGTAAAACTCTTAGTCCCTCCCAGCTGGTCGTATGCTTCCAACTATAGCCAGATAAGACATATTAAATGTATTATTAAAGTCATACGAGTTAAAGGAACAAGAGTTCAAACATTTTACAATATATTTCATTTTATAATAAAATCAAAATGGCAGACGAGGTCGTTGTGACTGGGTAAAAAAAAATCATTTATTTTATGAGTGGACAAAAATATGCCTAATCTGATTTAAGTTTACCAACGCTGCTCACAGTAGCGCTGAGCCCCGCAATTAGGCGGTTGTAAATAAAAGGGTGAAATTAATCTTTTCGTACAACACTCTGTACTTAATTAAGTGTAGTGTTTGGTATTGATCACTTGAAAAATATTGTAGTGGTTGGTACTGATCTCTTAAAAATACGAGGCCATACCTATTCCTAAACCAAACAATTTTGTTCATTATAGACTCTTATTTTTTCTATTAGCGGGTTTTTAACGTTTCTCTTAAACTTTTGCAACGGTGAATTTCTTTCTCTCCCAGTGTATAAATAATAACGGTGCCCAAAACATTTGGAAATATGTTATGTAAATATATACATAGTTTTATTAAAGTTGTTCAATGTGAAACAGTCTTTAGTCTTATCCTAATTTTGTGACAGATCAGGAAAAAAATAGAGGGCAGTAAGAAGGCTTAATATACTAACCCAATCGACTCTTATCAAAGTGTAAAGTTAATTCAGCGGAATTAATAATTAACGTCTTAGTTATTAACGTTCAATTAACGTTACTCGTTAATATTACGCCCACTGGGTGTGCGATCAATTAGGATTCAATGATATATCGCATGAAGCTACCAGTTAAAGTTATATTTATTATTAATAAATAATATTTATATGTACAAGGCATATGTCTGCCCGAAACGCATTGCGTAATAGTGGCTTTAGGCCTTGTATGTACTAGCTCTACCTATATATTGATCCATTAATGTAACATCACTTGTATGTATGTTCCTTACCTGAATAAACATAAACATATATACACTGAGAGGAGTACCCTGCTTCTCGGTGTATGTATATATATACACAGAGTCAACTTAGTCCTGGACTATGGTCAGGACTAACGTATACCTGCTGCTGGTCAGTAAACCTAATGTCCAGCCTTAATGATTTTGACAAAATATCGGACGACTTATAAAGTCAAAGGAAGCCTCAACTAAGATCCCAATCTGGACGGAGAAGTTGCAAATGCTGTTCTATGTACACACACAAAATAGTTTGGGAAAAGAACGTGATATTACATATCAACATTGTAATGTTGATAATGGGTAATACATTTGTGAAAGATAAGAGGCCCCTGATGTGGCACCCACCCCCGTGGGAGTCCCCTGATGTGGCACCCACCCCCGTGGGAGTCCCCTGATGTGGCACCCACCCCCGTGGGAGTCCCCTGATGTGGCACCCACCCCCGTGGGAGGCCCCTGATGTGGCACCCACCCCCGTGGGAGTCCCCTGATGTGGCACCCACCCCCGTGGGAGTCCCCTGATGTGGCACCCACCCCCGTGGGAGGCCCCTGATGTGGCACCCACCCCCGTGGGAGTCCCCTGATGTGGCACCCACCCCCGTGGGAGTCCCCTGATGTGGCACCCACCCCCGTGGGAGGCCCCTGATGTGGCACCCACCCCCGTGGGAGGCCCCTGATGTGGCACCCACCCCCGTGGGAGGCCCGATGTGGCACCCACCCCCGTGGGAGTCCCCTGATGTGGCACCCACCCCCGTGGGAGTCCCCTGATGTGGATGTTGTGCCTCCCCCTCCCCCCCAATCCCCCGCAGCGACTGAACCTACCAGAATCTTAGTGGGAGACATATATCTCTCGCCGGCTTCACGGTGAGGGATTAATTCCCTTTATCAGTTACTGTACTACTAAACTGACCGCTCGTTAATCAACAATCCACTCAGGCAGCACCACTAGTGAAAGAATGACAATGCCAAACTGTCCACTGTAAGATGTACTTGACAATTTTAATTTAATGATGAAAATCATTGAAAATTTAAGAAGCTTCAGGCCAAGATAAATTATAAACATAATTACGACAGTTACAAGGAAGAGGCCATTTATCTTGGCACCTTGGATCAGGTATTAAAGGATACCTGATCAACCAGGTTGTGATTCGAACGCCAGGAGGGGGGGGGGCCTGATCGGAGACTGGGCCGCGGGGACGTTGATCCTCGGATTCTTCAAAAGGTAAGATAACCCAGGGGGGGGGGGTAGAAATAGCCTAAGCTACTACTCAATCCCTTTGAGATGTATTTCTTTCTTGTCTCAATAAACATACTTGAACTTGAAGATAACCCAAAGTAACTTAGATACATGGAAATGAAAACAAAAGGACATGAAATTGCCAGCACTAGTTTCAATATCCTTGTCAGCACTAGGTTTCCTAAAGAGTTATAAAGAGAATGGAAACATTCATGTTTGAATGCATTTCTAACACATCCCTACAGCAGCCTAGTACAGAAATGTTTCCAGGTGCAGTCCTCTCTAACATCCCCCCCCCCATCAGCTAGCTGCCTGGGGCCAGATTCACGAAGGAGTTACGCAAGTACTTAAGAACCTGTACATCTTAAACAGTTTACAAGCATGAAAACTTGCCAATCAACTGTTGTTATTGTTATAAACAGCCTCCTGGTGCTTCGGATCTCATTAACTGTTTAATAATTGTAAACAAAGCCGCCAAAAATTGAGAAAAGATGTACAGGTTCGTAAGTGCTTGCGTAACTGCTTCGTGAATCTGGCCCTGGGGTACAGAAATGCTACGGCGTAGAAGCCGCCCATCTTCAGACACTACCCG